TTTTTTGCTCTTCACATTATCTCGCACTCTCTCTTTCTCTTTCTCTCTGTGTATAACCTGAACTACAGTTTTTAATCGCATTCTCTTGTGAAGTTTCAGATCTCGAATTTTGAATTATGAATAATAATTATATTACAACTATTAATATTATTACAATCGTAATATTAAAAAAAATAACACCTACATTGACAGTCAAACACCTCACTCTATAATTATTAATTAGAGTTTAATAAAAGCTTAATTTAAATAAATTTTTCCATAAATTAACTTTTTAAATACTTATTTAACAATTTTAATCATTTATTTCATCATATTTCATTAATTTATTATGATATTTGGCTTCGCACCGAACTGGACCGAGTTAGGACTGTACTAGGTCAAAACACAGTCCACACAATCCGCCAGGGATTTAAGAAAAGATTTTTTATGCAAGTTATTTTAATAAAAAAAATGTCAAATTCAGAAAGAAAAGGTTGCTTAAGTGCTCTAGATTTTAGCATTATAGATACTGAAGGAGAAATGTTAAATGATAATCATATTAATGAATTTGCACAACTACTGCAAAGAGTACCACAATCAGTTTTCGATATGCAAAACTCTTTGTATTTGCAAATTCTTTATTTAATTATTCATATTAACAGAAATCAAAGGCATATTCAAGTACTTTTTAGTTGTTTCTTGTAGTCTTGGTCATTGGATTTGCACTTATTATGATGGAGTAAAACTTTATATTTATGATAGACTTAATGCAGTAGCATTTGCAACATCTTTATATTTTAATATAATGCCGAATACTCTTGATTACGTTCACAGCAGAATGAGGCAGCATTTAAGCTTAATGTTTAAAAAGAATTGTTTATTTCCTTTTCCTGCAAAAATAACGTCTGAAACTAGAAACTTAATTATTGAAAACGATAGAAAGCGACCTTCTATTGTCCACAGTGAAGAATTGAAGTACAAAAATCCAAATTTTTCCCTTTTTCCTAAATCGATGGAGCAATTAGATTTAAAATTTCCACTGTACATTGAAAATAAACAAAAAAGACCTTATACTTTAAAAGATAAAGAAAGAAAAAAAGGCTAGGTTTCATGAAACAATAGAACAAAAATGAAGGAATTTAGAAAGTCAGAAGCGTCTAGAAAATGATTTGATGCGTAAAACTGTAAAAATTTTAACAGAAACAGAGATTGAAAAAACGCCAATAAAGGAATTTAGAATGTAAGAATAAAAAATTGTTTTTAGAAACAGAAATCGAAAATAAAAAGCGTATAAAAAATGATTTAATGCGTAAAAATAAAAAAAATTTTGACAGAAACAGAGGTTGAAAAAAAGAGCGCCAACAAAGGAATGTAGTATGTAAGAATTTTATTGGAAACGGAGGTTAATAAAAAAGAGCGTGAAGAAAAAGATTTAACCAATAAAATAAATTAAAAGAATACTAAAAAGTTAGATACATTAGGAACTGCAATTATGTCTTTAGATGAATTTGATGAAAAAAATATTTCTAAAAATTATTTGGGTGAAAGGTCTTCAGATAATAATTTTAATAGCTGTTGTCACAAAGGGAAAGTAAAGTTAAATGACTTAACTCCTTATCCTTAGTATTTAGCCAATTTATTATGTGACTCTACCTGTGTGGGTAAAAATTACAGACAAAATATTCGTTCGTATAACAGTTTATTTGCTTTTGCTAGCATGGGAGCTAAATTAGAAGTTCCAAAAGGAAAAGGTCCGTATGTTTTCTGCATTCAGAGACAAGTATATAATTGTACATACTCTTTTCATCCAAATGATGACGATAGTCGTAAATATGGTCAATTGTATATAATTGATGCAAATGCAGCTGTAATAGAAAGATTACATAACGATTATAATAATAAATGTTTGATGAAGTTATTATCGGAAATTGATATTTTACTTAGAAAGATTAATCCATATGCTAAAGCATTTAAAATGATGCGAAATTTTGAGATTAAAGAAGAAGAACAAGCTATATCATCAAATAAGTCAGTAAGAAATATTGAAATGTGGATTAAAAGCGACAGGTTATTAGATCAAAACAAGTTTAATGTTCCATCTTGTAATGAAGTAGCAATTGTATTTGTTAGCGAAGATGGTGAACCTCCTATTGAACGCGATGTATGTCCCTATTAAAAATTTCGACACCGTGAACGATGTCGTAAATAATGTCGTAATCGTCATCAAAAAGATATCGTAAGTGATATCGCGAACGACGTCGAAAATGATAACGTGTATTTAATGAAAAATATTTAATTATTTGTTAAATATAGAAGTTTGATTTATAGAAATTACTTATTCAATATTTATTCAACAAAATCAAAAGTAAAAGTTAATTTAATTTTTTAATTAGAAATATTTTAAGCATGAAATTAGTAACTTGAATCAATGTAAGAAAATAAAGTTAAATTTTTGAAGAAAAACAGGTTTTTTATATTTAGAATCGTTAGTGAAGTGAAATTTTTTGTATTTTCTGTAAAAATAATAATATTAATTTAATTAATAATAATAGTAGTTAGAATTTATTAAAAATTTTATTATAGTAAGAAGAATAGGAATACTATTAGATTAACGGAAAAAACACTGAAATTTCAATAAAACTCGTAGGCCGAAATAATCTTGTTAATAATTTAAATAAAAAATAATGGAAAAAATAATGTTATTTTCATAAACTTAATCAACAAATTTGCAACGATAATTCTGTTCTTCTGCTTAATTTTTATCTTTCTTCTTCCTTTGAGCTTCGTATAATTTGTCACGAATGGATTTGTTAATCCTTTTCATTCGCAGCGCCCTTTGTTTCCCTACAATTTTTGCTTCTGCCAGTTTGTTGTAAACACAATCTACAACAAAAAATATGAATTTAAAAAACTTATAAAATTTATGAAATAAAGTTGATAATTATAAAAAGCAAACTTTTATAAACTGAGGTTTGACACCAAATCTTAATTTTTCATGACGAAAATGAAAAAATTTCAAGATTTTCAAATATAAAAATTATTGCATTAGTTTTTTTTAAACTATTATATTTTAAATGTAAACTTATTCATCTTAACAAATAACTTTAATATGGAATAGGTTATTAAAGAAATTGTCAAATTTTTAAAATATTCGTTTCTGAATAATAAAATGTAAAAATATTGTTAATGAAACTCTTCTATTTTCAGTCAGATATATCTACAATAAAAGAAAAAAATTAACAAGGAATAAAAAGTTTCACTTATCTTCTTGTAAATAGCTATTGATTAGATTTATAAATTTAATTTTCAAAAATGCCGTGGTAATTAAATATGCCAATGGTTTTAAACAAATATCTCTTTTAAAAATATATTTCCCAGAAAACTCTGGGAAGTGCATTTCCTATTGAATTCTCTATAAAATTCCCAGGAATAAACTCCCTAGAGTTTCCTGACTATCTTTTCACATGAGATAAAATTCAAATAAAAATAATTAATTTACCCAATCATTTTCACTTTCAATTCTTCTTCCCACGTAAGTTCTATTCTGACGAATTTCCAAAGAATTTGGACTTGTACTCCGTCCAGGGCGTGGCACGTCTTGTGCATCAATTTCTGGGCTTATTTGGTCCATACGTGGTCGAGATGTTGCAGTATTGTCAGCTGAACTTCCAGGAGTCTCGTTTTGACGATTTTCATTATTTTAGTTTTCATTGCTGTTGACACCAACTGTCAACTCTGTTCTATGCAAATCTCGCTGCACATAGTGTAGTCTGTCTTCTGGAGAATATAGATTATAATTTTTTTAATGAATAACTTTAAATTAAATAATTTAAAAAAGGAAAAATTTTAACAATGAAAATAAATAGTGATAATAATAATAAAATAAATAGTAACATTTATAAAAATAGATAAACTCTACAAAATACGAAAATATAAAAAAATATAAGGTTATCAAATAAACATTTTTCTTTCTATACCGAATTCGTCTATAATACTATCTTCATCTGGAGAGAGCTATACAGTATCTTCATTTCCTTCTAAATCATTAGCATTCGTCTCGTTTTGAGTCTCCATAACTGTCGAATACTTTTCGAGGAGCTTCAAATTTCTTTCATGTTTGGCATTTTGTTGAAGCTTTTGAATAGATTTTTTTTTATCTTTGCTTTCCTTCGATTTTTTAGTCAAATGTTTCTTTTTTGATTTTTTTCGACGGCTTCGCGACTAGCTGCAATGAAAAAGCGCGAGTACAATTTAGAAATTTTTATTAAAATTTAACGATTAAAATACGTGATTGATAATTTTTATTTAATTAATTATTTAATTTTTAATTCTCTCTTTCAATTTTAAGAGGCACAAAAATATTTTCTGGAGTTTTCAATTACAGTCGAAACTGGATAAGTTCAAGGGACCGACAATTTTCTCTCGCATATAGAGGTTTCTCACTTACCCAGTTTCTCACTTACAGAGGTCTCAAAGCAAATTTTCTCACTTACACAGGTTAATGAAAAAATGGTATTCAAATTAATGTTTTATTGTACATAAGTATGTAATTTTTAGTTATTTTCTTCTAAAACACATTATCATTATTATTTATTTAAAAGGATTAAAAAAGTCCGTTATTTTCGTCTGTTTTTTTATATTAATATTTTCGACTTCTTTCTCTAGCGCATAAATTTTATCGAAAAGAGATTTATCAACACTTGAAGAAGATGCCAAAAAAACGATGAACAGTCTCTAACGCTTTTAAAGTCTCTTGCTTATTTGGAACGGGTTTTTCTGTTACAATCAAATTTTCGTTTTTTTCATCTTCCTCTTCAGCACTATTGTTAGCCATGGTTAAATTAGCTATTATATCATCTTCCGTGAGTTCTCCTGCAATTATCACGTTGTCATCTACTCTTACAAAATCTTCGAAAGTTGGATTTTCAACGCTATTTTCACAAGACAAGAGTGTACTCCACTCCTCGATGCTAGGGACATCAACATCGTCTTCTTCTGCAGAGTTTCCTGCGTCAGTACAAAATCCGGCTTTCTTAAAGCAATTCTTGATAGTAATGTCACTGATTGCGTACCATGCTTTTCTGGCGAATTTTATAGCCAGAAGTACGTTTATTTCAGGCTTAGTATTTTTTTGTAAACATGTCAAAACATGTTTCACTACTTCTTTGCGATAATATCTCTTGAAAGCATGAATTACTCCCTGATCCAATGGCTGCAAATGGCTGGTAGTATTGTCAGGTAAAAAAATTACGTTCACGTTTTCGAGCGTAGGTAAATCCGTATGAGCAGTACAATTGTCAATTACCAGAACAATTTTTCTTTTTTTGGTCTTCATTTTTTTATCCATTTTCTGTAACCACCTTTTAAATATTTCTCTTGTCATCCAAGCCTTTGAGTTGTTTTCATAATCGGCAGGTAGAGTTTTTACACCTGCAAATAAAAATTATGTAATGATTTTCAAGTTAATGAAAATGAGTTTTTAAAGTAGTGTTTATAAGAAACAAACCTTTAAAACATCGAGGTCGTCTTGATTTTCCGATGACAAGTAAAGGCAATTTATCCGTTCCAGTCATATTTGCGCAGTGAAGAACAGTAATACGTTTCTTACTTTGTTTTCCTCCGTGGCATTTTTCTTCTTTAAAGGCAAAAGTTTTGTCTGTTAGACACTTAAAAAATAAACCAGTCTCGTCTGCACTGTAAATGTCTTCTGGATCATATTCCCTTAAAAGATTCGGCAGATCTTTGGTCCACTGATTGCATACACTTACATCCACAGATTTACTTTCTCCGGATAATTTCTTAAAAACTATATCATGTTGTCTTTTAAAACCCTGAAACCAGCCGTTACTAGCTGAGAAGTTTTTTATTCCTAGTTTGGTCGCAAAATCACTGGCTTTTCCTTTTAATAATGGGCCATCCATGGGAATATTTTTGTCGCGGATTTCTTTTATCCATTCTAACAAACACTTTTCAACATTAGGAAACTCAACTTTTCGGCTTCTCTTCATGTTTCCATGGCCTTCAGAACACTGAACCTCTATTGACTTTTTGTTTTTTAGGATGTTATAAAAAGTAGATTCCGGCAAATTAAATTCACTCATTATTTCACTTCGTGTTTTCCCACGCTCGAATTCATTTATTATTTTAAGTTTATCACTAACAGAAATTGCGTTAATTTTTCGTTTAGACATTATAAATTTAGAAGAGACTTGATACAACTAAGTAAACTTTTCAAAATTCGTTTATTGACTGAAAAGAAAATTGTTTTCTTTATATACACTGGCCATAAGTCTACGGTGTGATGAAAGTAATGACTAATTATCTTCATTTTCATTTGTGAAAAATAAACGAATGTCATTCGAGCCAAAAGAAAAGCATAATTGACAGAGAATTAAATTAAAACATATTTTATTATATATTTATAAAATGTACTTACATCCCAATGCTATGATATTTGCATTCAGCAACAAATTTTTTTTCCATTTTTGTCCGACCAAACTTTATACTTCTTTCCATTGTCGAAATCACTCACATTTTGCGGGGAAAATTTAATAATTGAATTTAATGGTACAATTGATTGTAAACCCGTTCTAAATTTCACAAGAGCGTGCGATATTGGCATTATTTTATGTTAAAATGCTTATCATGAAAAATTAAATTTGTTTCCGAGCAGTTTGTTATGTAACTAGGAGATGTCCATTGTTTCGATAAAAACTTACTTCAAGTCATCGCAATTGTCAACCTTTCTTTATTTAATTTTGACGTTTAAAAAATATATTAATATTGTAAATCTAAACAATAAAGTTTAAACGATTTTTATTCTAAATAAAATATGAGTGATCGCAAAAGATACAAAACATATCTCGAGCCGGGATCTTTTGATTCTATACCATCATCAACATTTTTTAGGTATAAAAAATTAAAAACAGAAAAGGTACGTATACAAATTAAGATTCATTTAATAAATAATTATAAGCCTAATTCAATAAATCCAAGTATTAATTTTTTACATATACATATTTTTATTATAATTAATTTTTACATCACTTTAGGAAAAATTTGGTACTCAAGAAGATTCTAACATTACAAATGAAGAAGTATTTTCAGATAACACGAGTATTCTTGAAACAAGGTTTGAATCAAACTTGGAATGTGATAATGAATTTATTCACAAAGATATTGCTGAAATTGATAATATAATTACGGAGAATTTAAATGTAAGTTACATTTTGATTATTATGTAACAATTTTTATAAAATTTATTTACACGCTTTTAATTTAATTTTTATAATATTATCACATATAAATTTTAAAATTAAAAGTTAAAACTTTTTGAGGAAAATTTAACTAATAAATTTAACTTTTTACATTTTATAACTTTAATTATTTTTTCAAAAATTGTTATGTATAGGTATTGCTATTTACTCTATTAATTTTGGAAAATTATTTTCAGAAAAAATAAATAAATGATCATAACAAAAATTAATGTTAAAATTTTTTCATTTTTCAAATTTACACTAAAATAAAATAATGATTATATTTTACTCAATGGAAAATTTCAGGAAAAATTTGTTTGTCAGGAAAATGTTGAAAAATGTTTCTTATCACAAAAACTTTTAAAATTAAATGAAATTAAAATAAAAAAATTTTAAATAGTTTTAAAAATAAATTCTAATATATTCTCAGACGTTAAAACCCTAAAAAACAATTAAAATTTTAAAAAGATAATTAAAATAAAAAAAGTTTTACAAAATTTTATAAAGTAGAATATTTATATATTTATATTTTTGTGGTAACATTATATAAGTTCCACTTAAATTGATGTAACTTTAAATAAACTTTATATAAATTAATATTAATTATAAAGCATTAATAGAAAATGTCGAATTTTTACAATTAATTTTTAAATCATAAGATACTTGAGAAAATAATACTCTAGTTAATTTATTTGTTTTTATAATTATGCAGACATTCCATTCAGAAGTGAAAGATAAAACTACTTTTCTCAAAGTTTTGGAATCACTCGCCGATGACATTGAAGACACTGAAACGGAAAATCAAGATCAGGTTGAAATCAGCTGCAAGCTTTGGAATATTTACGTTGTCCACATAAAAGTCATAATTTCATATTAATTAATTCATATTAATCTTTTTTCTCTTATTTCTCTCTTTTGTCTTCAGTCGTCCTTGTTCGGTCCTGATTTTTCCGCCATCAAGTTTCTTCTACTCTTAATTATCAGGGGTCGAAGAAAATTGATAATTGCTTTCTTAATAATAGTTTCCTAACAATATTTTTACGCGGGTTTATATTTTTCTTCACTCTTCTTTCTATGATACAAGTAAATTTTTAGAATGGATTGAAATTATAAAATTATTATAGGAAGAAAGTAATGAGATCGATGATTTCTTAGATGATCTAATCCACAATGATGGTAGTTCTTCTGCTAATGATGAAAATGAAGAATCAACACTTTTCACATCACTGCAGGATGCAATTGATAACGATTTACTAAAAAAAACCTATCACCGTTATACCTAACAAGACTGTAGGTGAGGTGATGTTCATGGTTCTCAAATTCGTTCTTGTTCATGCGTTACACAGGCACACAAAAAATAAAAAGCTGTTTGGCCGAGACACTACACTAGTCTATTTCCATGTATTTTTTCACGCTGAATCCAAATCCGAAGTCAGAATTATCAGATTGGCTTTTATTTTTGAGATAAACTCAAAAAACTGCTCAGAAAAAAAAATAAAATCAGAAAGTTAAAAAATTTTTGAATGTCACTGCGATAGTGTAATTCCATGTACTTTTTGTCGCTGAATCCGAATCCAAAGTCAGAATTGTTCGATTTGCTCAAATTTTTGAGATAATTGCAAAAAAACGCAAGTAACAAAAAACTCAAAATCAGTTTTTTGGAATTATCTTCAAAATTTGAGTCAATCTGTCAATTCTGACTTCGAATTCGGATTCAGCGTGAAAAAATACATGAAAATGCACTATCGTAGTGTTTCGGCAAAAAAAATTATCTGTGCTCCTAATTCAGAATTTTTATCAGTTTTTGGCAATTTTAGCTCAAAGAAATTTTTTTTTGTCGAAACACTACGATAGTGCATTTTCATGTATTTTTCACGCTGAATGCAAATTCGAAGTCAGAATTGACAGATTGGCTCAAATTTTGAAGATAATTCCAAAAAACTGATTTTGAGTAGTTTGAGTTTTTTGTTACTTGCGTTTTTTTTGCAATTATCTCAAAAATTTGAGCAAATCGAACAATTCTGACTTTGGATTCGGATTCAGCGACAAAAAATACATGGAATTACACTATCGCAGTGACATTCAAAAATTTTTTAACTTTCTGATTTTATTTTTCTTTCTGAGCAGTTTTTTGAGTTTATCTCAAAAATAAAAGCCAATCTGATAATTCTGACTTCGGATTCGGATTCAGCGTGAAAAAATACAGGGAAATAGACTAGTGTAGTGTCTCGGCCAAACAGCTTTTTATTTTTTGTGTGCCTGTGTTATCTTTAACTGAAATGACAGACTTGTTTCTCATGATCCATTGTATTTTTACGGAATCATTTTTACCAAGTACTAGATATTTAATAGACAAGTTGTTCTTCCAAAAAATTTTATAAAACTATATGGAATATGTACAAAGTGTGGTACATGTATTGGTAAATTTGGTAAAAAAAATCGTATTATTAAATGTAAATTTTGCAAAACCGTTATTAATGTAAAGGACAAATCATACAAAGATTTTTTTGTTATGCTGGACGTTGGACATACAATATCCAAATTAATTGAAGGAAATAGTGAATATTATAATTATATAGTAAATAATAGGGTTTACGAAAATGGCCCTATTCGTGATATTTATGACGGGAAAATGTAACGAGATTTTGTTGCACAATTAGATAGTGCGGACAAAGATAGGTACGCGACTGTAATTTTTAATACTGACGGTGCACACTTATTTAAAAGCTCATCTTATTCTATATGGCCTATTTTTTTAATAGTCAATGAAGTGCCATTTAAAGTAAGAACCAAAGAACTTATTCTCGCGGATCTTTGGTTTGGAAAAGATAAGCCTAATATGAACGTATTTCTTGAGCCTTATGTTGATCAAATGCATACACATTCTACAAATGGAGTAGAATGCAATATTAATGGGGAAATAAGAAAAGTTAAAATTTTTAATTTAGTTAGCTCTGTTGATTCTGTGGCGCGTGCGCCAGTTCAGGGTTTCATGCAATTTAATGCAAAGTACGATTGTAATCAATGCCTTCATCCGGGTGAATGGGTTAGAAATAATGAAAATAAACGATCGGGTAATATCAAATATCCTTGCATGGAGAAATATCCGAAGCTAAGAAATGCGAAAGATACAAAGGAACACATGAAACAAGCTGCCACTTCGAAAGATCCTATTTTTGGGGTAAAAAATCCATCAGCATTAATAGGCTTAATGTACTACGATATTATTTATGGGAGTATTGTCGAATCTATGCACTGTCTTTCGGGGATAGCAAAACAATTTTCAACTATTTGGTTTGGTACAAAAGAGAAAGTAGGTTTGCTACCTAAAAAATTCATTTTTAACATTGATGAAGCCCTTCTTAATATTCAAGTACCACATCAGGTTGTTAGACTCACTAGATCGTTTTCTGAAAGAGCATTTTGGAAAGCTCGGGAATGGGAAAATTGGATTTCGGGGTCGCTGATTAAGAATCTAATGTCAGATTTTTAAAATTCAAAATGGCGGATCCAATATGGCGGACATTTTTTTTTAAAGTTACTAAATTTGCTTGAAAATTACTACTCGGGTGTTTATGGTGTCGCTGATTAAGAATCTGATGTCAGATTTTTAAAATTAAAAATGGAGGATTCAATATGTCGGACAGTTTTTTGAAAAGTTACTGAATTTGCTTGAAAGTTACTACTAGGGGGTTGTCGGGGTCGCTGATTAAGAATCTGATATCTAGTGATGCACTTCGAGCGAGTCTCGTCTCGA